TCTGTCAGAGGCTGGAGAGGGATGGCAGGAGACAAATCGCTTGATCATTGTCTTCGGTCCACCCTCTCTGGGGCACCTGGTGTTGGCCACTGTCGATAGACAGGATACTGGGCTAGATGGACCTTTGGTCTGACCCAGTATGGCCGTTCTTATGTTCTTACTTGACTAGTCACTTACATCCCTAGTGGAGGTGTGACAAACAGGTTTTCCAAGCATACTAGGCTGCTTGGAAGAAAGCACAGAGATGCTTGTGAGGAATGAAGATGAAAAGTATGGAGATTAGAGTTGGCAGAGTGGAATGGGAAAGGCAAAAGGTGACTAACTCAGCGATATCTGCAGAGGCAGCATAAGACAGGGTTTGGCAGGCAAAGGCAAGAAATTTACCTATGATATTCAGAGGAACAAGAAACCAGACAAGTGACTCACAAAGGGGATGATACGTTTGAGAGAATGAATGAGGAAGGATATTTTGGCAGCAATAACTTGGATAGAGATGATGGATGAAGGTATTAGAAACCCAGAAGGAGGCATCTAGAGTAGGTGAGGTGGAAGAAGACTAGATTATGTCAAGAAGTCTGGCTGTGCTAGAGACATGAAGTACCAGCATTACTCACCACACACCACTGCTTTCTGGCTCATCCTTACAGCTTTTTCTTGGGGTGGAGTTCCAAAAGCCCCAGCTCCCCTGTTGTTCTGGTAACAGTGGCAGCAGTGAACCAGAAGCAGCTTTACAAATCCTGTTTCTCCTGGTCCAGTGTCATCAGAACCTGCATTCTAAAGTGATTTATTTCTGAGGGAGTAATAGAGTTGGGACAAGGGGAGTTGTGAAAGTAGGAGCAGAGAGGAAGAAGGCAGGGAAATGGAGAATAGAGTGGCTTAGGGGAAAAGCATAGAGAAAGCGAAGGATAAAGTGGAAGGAGAAGGTAAGGCTCTGGAGACTGAAGGAGGGGCAGGCAGATGAGCAGAGCTGCTAGTAGAGATGAGATTCCTGGGTTGAGCGTTGTGCTGCACTTGATAGAATGCAGATTCTGATGTCACTTTGAGGCCATGCCCGTGCACACTTGTAACACTGAATGTTCTGATTCCAAGGAGCAGTGACCCTGGTCGCAATCCAGTCCCTTTCCACTCTTGTCACTGGAGACATGTAAGGCCACAAATCTTGGCAGATTATGTTGTCAACAAAGGAACTAGAGAGAAGTCAGGGTACAACTTATAATATAACTTCAGGTCTGAATCTCAGTGCTCTTAACATGTGTCCAGCTCCACTAGCTTCTGCTTTCTAGGAAGACTTAAGATGTATGTTGCCAGTACAGGCAGTCCCCGGGTTACATGGATCTGACTTACATCGGATCCCTACTTACAAACGGGGTGAGGCAACCCCACACTAGCTGCTTCCCCCGCAGCAGACCAGGGAGATGCGAAGCTAGCGCCCCCCCTCCCCCAGCAGACCAGAGAGATGCAGAACGGCTTTTCTCAGACACCTCAGCTTGAGACTAAAGGACTGAGGGAAGTGAGGTGTGGGAGAATAAAACTGAGCTCTGGAGAAATGTTTGGGTAGAGTTTCCCTTGCAATATGTACCAGTTCTGACTTACATACAAATTCAACTTAAGAACAAACCTACAGTCCCTATTTTGTACATAACCCAGGGACTGCCTGTATAAAGAAGAAATCTAAAAACTATGCCATATGTACAATCTCATTTATATTACCCTTAAATGTTCAGTACACATTCACATACACCCTCATTTCTTTCATTTGGGCTTTGAAAATTAATCCTATTTTTTTAAGTGTATTGTTAATTTTACCTTGTTGCCTGTGGCTGAGTCTACCAGACAGCTCAGGACCCTGAGAATAATGCTGTTTAAATTAACATCACTCTGGCTCTGTGTCAGAGTTACATGAGTTGGCTCTGGGGCTCTGGCTTGAAACTGCTCAGCAGAAAAATTGTCCCAGAGGTGAGTAGGTTCATGAGCTAGCTGGGTAAATGAATCTTTTTGCTGCGTTCCTGAGAGAGTTCCATCTCCTTCCTCTTCTATATGGGACTGGAGAATGTGAATAGCATATTCCAAAAGTAGCAAATTAAACAAATGCCAGGATCCTAGGTTTAAACAACAACAAAAATCACTTGCAACATCATCACTTCCATATAAATATGCATCCTAACCAGGCACATCTTCCTTTGTAAAATACATGGTATCATTATATTAATAGGATTTGGAGCATAGGACTCAGTGAATAAGAAATTTTGAACTGTGTGTCTGTTCAACAACATCCAGGCAGAGTATGCACTAAGTACGGATTTTAAACATGGGCTAAAAGGGAACCTCCTTATTCTAGCAATATGGGACAGAGCAATTGTCCATTTTCCTTATTGCAAGGGTTAACAACTGCCCATCACCCATGTTGCCTGGTCACACTGATTAATAATTCCCACCCTACTCAAACAAAAAACCCTACTGACAGAAAATAGGTTGCGGCTCAAACAATGTTACTGTACGAATGATTTACCTACTGCTTTGGTGGATTTTGCATGACTAGAAATTTCTAAATCAAGATTGGATGCTTTTCTAAAAGATATATTCTAGTTCAATCTAGGGCTGTCAAGTGATTAAAAAAATTAATCATGATTAATCGCACTGTTAAACAATTATAAGACTTCAGCCGACCCTGGGCTCAGTGCAGTGCTGCCCCTTTGAAACGCTGCCACAGAAGGCAAAGGGGCAGTGCTGCAGAAGCGCCTGAGATGAATGCGCATTAAAAAAATTAACATGTTAGTTATGCCCTGGGTCAATCACAGGCGTTAACGCACGTTAATCGACAGCCCTAGTTCAATCACAACTATGGGACTCAAATTAGAATCATAGAATACTAGGACTGGAAGGGACCTCGAGGTCATCGAGTCCAGTCCCCTGCCCTCATGGCAGGACCCAGTACTGTCTAGAGCATCCCCGATAGACATTTATCTAACCTGCTCTTAAATATCTCCAGAGATGGAGATTCCACAACCTCTCTGGGCAATTTATTCCAGTGTTTGACCACCCCGACAGTTAGGAACTTCTTCCTAATGTCCAACCTAAACCTCCCTTGCTGCAGTTTAAGCCCATTGCTGCTGCTTCTATCCTTAGAGGCCAGGAAGAACAAGTTTTCTCCCTCCTCCTTTGTGACACCCTTTTAGATACCTCAAAACCGCTATCATGTCCCCCCTCAATCTTCTCTTTTCCAAACTAAACAAGCCCAATTCTTTCAGTCTTCCTTCATAGGTCATGTTCTCTAGATCTTTAATCATTCTTGTTGCTCTTCTCTGAACCTTCTCCAATTTCTCCACATCTTTCTTGAAATGTGGTGCCCAGAATTGGACACAATACTCCAACTGATGCCTAATCAGTGCAGAGTTGAGCGGAATGACTTCTCGTGTCTTGCTCACAACAATTTAATTCATCTGAAGAAGTGGGTTGTGCTCATGATACTATATATATTTTCTGGTTAGTCTTTAAGTTGCTGCAGGACCATTCATTGTTTTGAATGTTTTTTTTTTAATTCAAGGAAGTGTGTGATGTGTTGTGCAGATGGGCAGACTAGGTGATCACAGTAATCCCTTCTGGCCTTAAAAATGCTACAAATAAGGCAGGTAGCCATTTTTTTCTTCTTTGAGATCATCTCTGCATATTTCCACTGTAGAAGACAATACAATCCCCAGGAGATGGGCTAAGGAGTTTTAATTAAACAAGGTGACAGGGTGCGGTCACGGAAGACCCCTTCGGGGTGCTTCCTGTAGTGCTGATAAAGCCACTGACACTTACCTTCCTGCTCTCTGGCGATTCTTGCCACTTAGTCTTGCTGGGCCAGCTGTCTGGTCTCCCCCAGCCAAAGCACAAAGCTGAGATCACTGCCCACCAGTGGCATAGTGAGGAAGGTGGGAAGAGGCAGTTGCCCCTGGACCCCACATTAGGGGGGCACCAATTTAGTCCCCCTCTGCTCCCCCTCTCACCTCTTGGCTCGCCTGCTCCTACTCCACTTGCTGCTGGCTGGAGCCTCCTCCCTGCCTCTCCGCCCCCAACCCAACCCTCCATCTCTACCAGTAGGTTAGTGCGTGCGGGGGCCCAGCCTCAAACTGGAGGGGGCGGGGAAGATGTGGTACAAGCTTCCCCCCTCTTCCCAGGGTCAGGCTCAGCTGTGTGCCAGGTTTGGGGCCCTGCTGCGTGGCAGCAGGGGGAGGGAGACACAAATTTTGCCTTTGCTCCTGGGTGCATAACATCCTTTCTACGCCTCATCTGTCCACCCCCAAGGAGCAGTACAGACATTGAATCTCTTCAGATCCAAGGAAAATGTAGTTTAGGGCCCAGCTTCCTGGGATACAACTCCCCAAAGAGGATCAGAACCCCCCAAAAATTATTTGGGGAAGCCCCCTTTAACAAGGAAAGGAATATACACACTGGTTGCTTCCCCAGGTAATAATTATTTACTCTGGGCTTGATAGTAAGTAAAAGTGATTTTTATTAAATCCTACTGCTTGTACTTAAGTGGTTATAAGTGAGAACAGGCAGAGCAAAGTAGATTACAGATTAAAAGTAACAGAAAATGCTTAGCTAATTCTAACACTAAAACCTCAATACAAACTAATTACAAACTTACCCTATAATTGTTCCTTTTCCAGCTCAGTCTTCCAACCAGGGAAATCTCTTCCCCCGGGGCCTCTGGTTCACTCCCCTGGGTGTTCCAGCCAAAGACCCCACCTGCTAACTTCCTATTCTTTTTAAAGATTCCCTGTGTGGGAATTCTGTTTCTAATCTACAGTCTACCCTTCCAGCTGGGGTGAACATGTGACCTCCTCAGCTCAACCACTGCTAAGACTTAAGGACAAAGGAGATTGTTTACAGTTGATCATCTAGATATTGAGGGTAACACCCTTGATAGCTTTCCATTTACACATATAAAGTCATAAACCATTCCATACTCCACAGGTCTAATTTTACACACAAACATGATTCATACACCAAAAAAAGTATAGACCCAGTGGATTAAGATGTTAAGATTGATAGGTTACATGAAGCAATTTGTCCCAAGCATCTTCCAGTTATGTATATTTGTGTCCATAAGCTCATTTCATAAAGCATTGGGGAGGAGGGGTTCCATCACACAAGGATTACAGAATTGCCCTCCTGAAACAAATATCATGTGTGGATAGCAAGTCAAGTGAATTGTTAAAAACCTTTCAGTGCTTCTCCTTCATCTTGCACTTATGTTTGAAGGAAGCCAAGACCAGGCTTTAGTGTCCTGAAATTAAGGGCTAGCTGGATGTTTAGGATTCAATGCCAATGAGAGATTGTCATTGTTTTTCCTGACACAAAGGGGAAAAGGATGTGGTCCTATGTCCATTACAGCATGGAGTATACAAAAAACCAAAACCTTTTACTTACCAAAGCTCTCTGTATGGCATAATGTCATAGCTTTGCTTACTGCAGTTAAGAGAAAGTTCCATCTCAGTTGGAAGTTAGCTGCTAGTTTTCTAAACTCTTCTTTATTCTTGCTTGGCTGTAAACAGAAAATGACTTGATTCATGATCAAGTCAAATAAAGAAGTGTACATGTAGCAATGACAACTTTGCATGCAATTTGTATACAGAAATAAAAACAGTACAAGCAGTTTGAGATCCTCGAGGGAAGACATTATAGAAGTACAACATACTATTATTACTTTAAAAAAAATCCAGCAGTAACTAATAAGGAATAATTAATTAAAGGGGAGGACAACTTCCCCGGCTCCTTCCAAGGAGCAAAAAATGTTAACACCATTTAAAATCCCAAGTAGTCCAAACTACCAACATCACTGCAGCTGCTGATAATTCTGATCCACCACAGGAAAAAATACTGAGAGGCAAGGGAAGAAATATGGCCTATCTGAAGACAGTTACATCCATTTTTATAGGCAAGTTAGTTTAGTAGGAGAAACTACTTTCCTACAAGCGGCACGTGGACCCAGTTCATGAGGGGAGCCTGTTTAAAATCCAGCTCTTCTTGCAGACTGGGCAGTGCAGAGTAGCAGCAGATTCTTATCTGTGGGGTGCTCAGAGGTTGCTGACAGAGGCAGCAGTATGGGGGGAGAAGGTGACACTGCAGAGCTGGTGCTGGGGGAAACGGCTTTTAAGATGGCTCCCCACCCCTCCAGCACAGTTCCTGCTGCACCAGCCCGTATCTATAGGAGGCAACAAGGGTGAGGGCAGGCGGGTCCGCAGAGCCAATATGCGCAGGATGCTGGCTTAAAAGCTGGCTTTTCATGCGTATCGGCTCCAGCCTACCCCCTTCACCTGTCACACTGCTATCTCTGAGGGAGGGGGGCAGGCGGATCTGGTGCTTGTGAAGAGCCTGCTTTTCAGCCAGCTCCTAATGGGCACCAGCTCCCGCTCTCCCACCCTGCTGTCTCTGATAAAGAGGCAACAAAGGAAGGAAGGCTTATCAGTTAATGCTATAGTCGAGTACACTTTGAGATCCCTAATGCAAAGGTGGAACTTTGTCAGACAATACTTTTCCTTCTGTAAATCGTTTATGTAATCTTGATAGTCTACTTTGGGTATTGGTTTGCCTCTCAGGATAGGACAAGAAGCAATAGGTTTAAATTGCAGCAAGGGAGAATTAGGTGGGTCATTCAGAAGAATTCCTAACTGTGGTTAAACACTGGAATAAATTGTCTATGGAGGTTGTGGAATCTCCATCTTTGGAGATATGTAAGAGCAGATTAGACACACACCTGTCAGGGATGGTCTACATGGTGCCTGGCTCTGCCATGAGTGCAGGGGACTAGATTCAATGACCTCTCGAGGGCTCTTCCAGGTCTCCAATTCTATGCAAAACCACAGCTACAAACTACTAGCAAGCATAGTAACAACTAACTTTATTGTAACATAAAAAACAAACAAACATAAGATAAATGGTGTGGTTGTTTTTTTCCCCCTTTTTTAAAATAATGTGTTAAATAATTTTGTACCTGAATGACAAAAGCTTGAAGATTTGAAGACATGCAGTTCAGGAAAACCCTAACATCAGTGGAAGTGTCCAGCAAGGAAATCAAGTTATTCAGGCCTATAAAATATAAAAGAAAAATGCATTGATAGCAATATTTTGTTTATACTTCTCTTTAACAGTAATGTCAAAAATAGATTAAGACTACTGATATGCCATATGCAGTTATGTGTTTTGGGCCAGATTTTGACACCCCCATTAATGCTGTTTGGCATCTAATTTTGAAACAAATTCCATTCTATTCAGGTTCACATTCTTTTGCATCACTGTAATGTAACCCCGTCTTTCCTCTCTGGATTACTCAGGAGCAGGTCACGCTCAGTTGTGTGCCTGGGCGCCTGATGGTTTTAACATTAAAGGAGATCCTAAGTATCCCAGTGGTTATATTGGATAGTTGGGGATCCCTGATCAACCCCCTTGCTGCAGTCCCTTGCTTCTAAAGGAAAATACAATGGCAGTGCCTCCGCCTGGCTGGCGTACCTTAGGAGCCTCCACGAATAATCTTATTCCAATAATAATCTGGATCTAACTCCAAAACAACAATTATAAATCTACATCTAATTGATTAAATTAGAATTAACACACCTTTACTTAACTTAAAGAACAGGGTTTAACAGACTAAAAGTGAATAAAAGCAATTATCAAAGTACACAGAAATAAAGAATAGTGATAGAAATGTAGCCGTGTTAGTCTGGTGTAGCTGAAACAAAATACAGGACTATGTAGCACTTTAAAGACTAACAAGATAGTTTATTAGGTGATGAGCTTTGGTGGACCAGACCCACTTCCTCAGATCAAACAGTGGAAGAAAATTGTCACAACCATATATACCAAAGGATCACTTTTTTTTTTTAAATTGTATCCTTTGGTATATATGGTTGTGACAATTTTCTTCCACTGTTTGATCTGAGGAAGTGGGTCTGGTCCACCAAAGCTCATCACCTAATAAACTATCTTGTTAATCTTTAAAGTGCTATATTAGTCCTGTATTTTGTTTCAGAAATAAAGAAAACATATCTAACTGGCATTTACACTGCCACCATTTATTCCACCCCAGAGCATATGCTCCTTTGGATCTGAGTCCCAAAAGCTTGCGTGGGTGCACTTGAAGATCTGCAGCTGGAGTAGAGACCGCACTGTGCAGGTTGCGTGTGTGTCAGTCCAAGTTAGGCAGCCAGTTGGGCAACTCTGGTTCCCTGGGCAGATCATTATGCGCCTCTGTGGACCCACAGCATCCTGGGGGCTGTAGCATCTACAGCTAGATTGCAGCACAAAGGATCCTCCCAGTAAAAGTCAGAGGCTCCTTTAGTAAAGGGAGCCTACACTATAAGGGTAGCCACTAAAAGTAGAGGTTATTTCAAACTAGAGATGTAAGTGTGTAGTCGAATCACTACTCAACTAGCCGCTTCCCCCCACACCTTGTTGCCTCTGAGAGGCAGCAAGGGCGGGGAGCAGTAGCCAGTGCTGGGGTGAGCCGGCTTAAAAGCCAGTTCCCCCCAGCACTGTCTCCACAGGGGGCAGGCAGCACAGAGGTGCAGCGAGAGACTGGGCATGAGCCAGGAGTCAGCTGTTCTGGCTCGCGTGTAGTCCCAGACGCTGCACCTTGTCAGTCCCCGTAATACACGAGGTTCGAAGGGATGCCGGAAAGGATGAGACCACAACTGGGGGTTTCAAAAAGCACAAACTGATTTTATTTTGATGGCGCCAGACAATCATCAGAACAAAAATTAAACAGATTGCCAGACAACACAAAACAATTCCCTGAGGCTTTTCTAAATCACAATAATTCCCAATAACTGCCCAGGGGTTAGGAACAGTTGAATTAACACTGGTATTATCCATAGGGCTGACTATTTACACAACTTTATACAAGGAAACAGTAAAAAACCTAAACCACAACTATTTATAAACTAACTTAGTAACTTTTTAGCCACTGTCACTTGGCAAGCAATAAGGACAACTAAAAAATCAATTAGGATAGGGATGATGGTGGGGATAGGGCTGACTATTTACACAACTTTATACAAGGAAACAGTAAAAAACCTAAACCACAACTATTTATAAACTAACTTAGTAACTTTTTAGCCACTGTCACTTGGCAAGCAATAAGGACAACTAAAAAATCAATTAGGATTAGGGTCGACCAACTCGGAGTACGCTCAGTAAGACTCGAGAGCGGGGGGTGCAAGGCGTCTGGGTGATCAGGCCAGGCGTTCACTCGATACGAATCCCCAGTGAGAGAGAGGCTGCCTGCCTGTTTTATTGCCTGAGAACTTATTCCCCAGAGGCTGGGTTTTTGTGCAGTGGGTGGAGTAGCAGGCCTGAGCACCAGTCAGCCCACTGGCTGATCTGTTACTGCAATGGGTGGAGCGAGCAGGGGAAGATTATTAATTTACATGCCCTTATATGGAAAACACTCCACCTCACAGACAGAGCCCCCTATACCAGCCTCAGAGGTATTACAGGCTATGGCTCCCTGCGACGGGCAGCCATTCTTGTAGTTCTGACTCGGACACTTCCCAGATCTTGAATTCCACCAATTCACAGGTCCCCAAAAGTGCTGGGGTGAGGAGTAAGTGAGTGTGGGATTCCAATGCCCCAACATGCAAGAGGTGCGTGGGGGAGGGGGCAGAGAAGGGATGTGCAGTCTGTAAGCCACACATCACAACTGCAGCTCAGCCACTATGTCGCCTGTGCTGGAGATGCATCCTAGAGCCAGGGAGGAGGTTTCTGTATCATTCTAGTTAATCCACCTCTCCATATGGTCATAGCTAGATTTGTCAGAATTTTTTTTTCTGTGGACTTAGCTGCAACTACTCCCCAGGATAAAGGAGCAAGGCTGATTTAAATATCAAGTGTAAACCAGGCTTTAAACACCTGACATCTTGAATTAGCGCTCCCTTCTCTCAACTCAGTTGTAAAGAAAACAATGCTGTGCAATAAGAATGATCTCCTTATGAAACGAGGACTAATTTAGAGCCCTGCAAATTCACAGAGATCCACGAATACTGGCATCTGTGGATGTGAATGGCCGTAGCTTTCTTTTGCGGCTATGGATACAAGATGTAAATTTTGTATCTAGAATCCAGCAAATTTGCAGATATCCACTTTATAGCTGTGGGTGTCCCCACCCATGGATGCAGATACAGATGTGGTTACAAACGTTGCATCTTTGCTCTTGGGGTAATATCCTTTGGGCTAGACCACAGCCTTTATGTACAGTAATAAGTAAGCAGAAGCCATTGCCTTTCCCCACTACCTGGCTCTTGTAGTAACTTCCTAAAGCCAAGGAACAGAGGGATAGCCAAAGACTGTGAATAGCTAGCCCACTACAAAAGTGGTTTCTCCTCTCTTGGTGTTCACACCTCCACATCCTGTCTGACTGAATTGACGTCATTTCTGGCCTTCCTCTTGAGTGGTACTCCTTTCTTTTCATGTGCCTGTATATTTATTCCTCTGGAATTTCCACTACATGCATCTGACGAAGTGGGTCTTTGCCCACGAAAGCTTATGCTCCAATAAATGTTAGTCTATAAGGTGCCCCAGGACTTCTTGTTGTTCCTAACGACAGGCATTAGTGCTGTTCCCTGTATAAACTCAATTTGGGTGCCTAAAGCGAGGCTCCTGACTCCCTGTTTAAATGCCTAAGCCAGTTAAGTCTCATTTACACCGGTGCCATGCCTCTGCGACTCCCAGCAAAGCTTGTGGGAGCTGCTGGTTTACAGTATGACTGAAAATCAGGTCACTTATTTGGGCACTTCAGTCTATGCAAGTGGCTCTGCATTTATTTTGCCCTTGACACTTTAATTTGTGAGAGTATAGGGACCTATTGGAAACCCAAGTTTTGTGCCAAGGGACTGTTAAAGCAGCTGGTCCTTAAGGTGTGTCTACTCTAGAAACACAACAGTGGCACAGCTGTGCTGCTGTACTAAAAGCCCTCACTGTAGTGCTGGAAGGAGTTCATTGGGCACTGTAGTGAATCCCCCTCTGAGAGGCAGAAGCTAGGTGGACAAGATTCTTCTTCCATCCACTGAGTACAGTCCATGAGGGGTCTTAGTTTGACTTAACTATGGGCAGGTCTACTCTAGGGGAACAAGCTGATTGAAGCTACACAATTTTAGTTGTGTTAGTAGCATAACTAAGTGATCTACTTAGACCTACTTCTTGCAAGGTCCAAACACATTTGATCAACAGAAGAAACTCTCCCATTAACTTGCCTTATTCATCTCATTCTGGTGAAGTACCAGGGTCGACAAGACAGTGATCAGTGGTTGATTGAGTGGGTCTTTATTAGACCCACTAAATTGACCCCCCTCATGGATTGATCACCATAGCATCAACCTAGCACATGGTGGAAAAACACCCCCATGTAGCGAATGTGAATTTTTCAAACCTCTGAGCAAGGGAGCTAGGTTGACTTAAATTCTAAGATGCTTAAGGGCTGGCCTGCCCACAGATTTTGTACCTAACTGTTTTTGTTAGGAATGTGTTTTTTTTAAAGTTACCCTGATACAGTCCTAGAGTAGATCCAATTATACTGATTTAAAAGGGCTTACATCAGTTTAGCTTTTTCCTCTTCCTGAGTGGGAATAGCTACACTGCTTTAAGGTTCCTTACAGGGTCCTGTTGGGGCTGGAGAGTCCCAGCCCAAGGAGACTGAGCCCAGGAGCCTCAGCATGGGGCTAACAGCAAGGAAGAAAGCCCAGGCTCCTGGGATCCCCACAGTCCAGAGAGGATCCTTGACTTCACTTGATCTGGCAAACTCGCTGATTCGGAACCACTTAAGCCCTGAGAGTGCTGGGCCAGAGTGGTCAAACCTGTTGCGTTATAATAATCCAACATTATTACATCATGGTGATTTTCTTTAAAAAAAAATAGCCTTTACAGCATACGAGATAAAAGGAGATAGCTACTACAGTATCTAAAATGTAGCTCCATGAGCCACCAATAAATTTTATTCTATAGGTTTGGGTTGTCAGGAGCTTTGTTAAACCTTCCTCAAAATTTCATTCATTCGTTCTCCTTGACTTTCCTTAAAATTCTTGCAGTATTAAAGAGTG